AATCACACGAAATGAAATTGATTTCATTACGACTAACGTTCCAAAAATAATAGAGGATGTAAAAACTCTGAGCAGATTTAAATTTCCTAGTGACCACCGTATAGTGAGAGCAGAGCTAAATCTGAATAGTAGAAAGAAGTCGCGGAAGCACTACAAGCAAAAACCTCAAGCCAACTTTGACCCTAAGATCTTTAACAATATTCTGACACAAGAATTAACACATTGCAGTGAAAACCCCCACTCTTCTTCTTCCTTAAGCCTACAAGAGTACTACAACAGAGTCGAAAACTGCATCCTCAACAGTGTTGCAGAAGCAAAAATACCAAAGATAAACGAGAAGAAAAACATAATAACAGAGGAAATAAAAGAACTCATCAACCAAAGACACAATTTAGCTAACAAACAGGGGAAAACAAAACAAGAAAAATACAAATTGAGTAAGCTATACAGAGAGATTAACGATAAAATTAAAGCGAACGAACAAAATCACAGGCTACAAACTTTGGAAAAATATATCAATGAGTCAGGAGCTATCAAAAAAGCCTACAAGTGCTTAAAGAGATCAAAAAGCCTCATGTGTCACTTAAAATCGAAGACTGGTGCTTTAGCAACCAGCAGAAAGGAGATAACATACATAGCTACTAGTTATTACGAAAACCTCTATGACACTCAACACCATACATTAAATATAACACCACCAAACTTGTCTAATGAAGACCCAGCGCCATTATTCATGGAAAACGAAGTAGAGCACTCTATCAAGAAACTTAAACCAGGCAAAAGCCCAGGATCAGACGGAATTAATAACGAAATGATTATAGCTGGGAAAGATGCCCTCACTAAGCCACTAACGGAAATATTCAACCGGGTCATGAGAGAGAAAACAATCCCTACACAGTGGGCATCCTCAGATATTATTCTATTATATAAAAAAGGAGATCCCAAACAAATATCAAACTACAGACCGATCAGCCTAATGTCATGCTTGTACAAGGTATTTGCAAGTACACTATTACGCAGAATAACTCCCAAGATTGATGAAAACCAACCGATAGAACAAGCCGGCTTTAGGAAAGATTACTCCACAGTAGACCATATACACACCCTGAAAATGATAATAGAAAAATATAATGAATTTTCAATGCCATTATATATTGGTTTTATAGACTACTCTAAGGCCTTTGATTCCATAAGTCACGATTCAATATGGCGCGCTTTAAAGGAACAGGGAGTAAACAACGATTACATAGAAATATTAAAAGTGATTTATAAAAATAGCAAAGCGAGAGTTAAAATTGACTCACCTGGACAATTCTTCAGTATTAGAAGGGGGGTCAGGCAGGGCGACCCACTGTCCCCAAAAATATTTATATCCGTCCTCGAACACATATTTAGAAATCTTGAGTGGAACAAAAGGGGACTCAAACTACATGGTAAGTATCTGACGCACCTGAGATTTGCGGACGATCTGGTGCTGCTGACTGAAGATCACAAAGAACTACAATACATGTTGGAAACTCTCAATGAGTACAGTAACTCAGTTGGCTTAGAAATCAACATCGAAAAAACTAAGGTTATGACAAATGTAACAAAACTACCAGTCACACTGCAATCAAGAAACGTTGAATATGTAGATGAGTACACTTATCTTGGACATCAAATCTCATTTAGCAATGGAATGGACAAAGAGATCAATAGAAGAATAACGAACACATGGAAAAAATACTGGAGTATGAGAGATATATTTAAGGGTACCCTCCCCAATAACCTGAAAACAAAAGCTATGGAAGTATGTCTAACTCCATGTTTGACATACGCCTGTCAAACATGGACACTTACAAAGAAACAACTCAACAGAATAGAAACCACACAGAGAGCAATTGAGAGAAGCTATCTAGGGATCAAACTAAAAGATCGTATAAAAAACTCAGAGATAAGACTTCGCACTCAAGCAAAGAATATAAAAAAGATTCTGCTTAAATCTAAATGGAAATGGGCAGGACATCTTCAAAGACTTAAGGACGATAGATGGACAAAAATAACAACTAACTGGTACCCACTGGGAAGGAAGAGAAAAAAAGGACGACCATTCAAAAGATGGGACGATCCCATAGTTAAAGTAGCAGGGAGAGTGTGGACAAGGTTGGCTAGAGACCGAGCCAATTGGAAAGTCTTGGAGGAGGCTTTTACCGCTTAGCGGTCCTTACATAGAATAGAATAATAGTCTTAATAATTGTAGCATATTACTCAGCACTAAGGCAACAGTAGTGGTGGTATAGATGTTTCATATGTGGTATGATAAAATTGTATAACTATTGTTAGACAAATGTTACAAATGTTGACAAATGTAGAACAGATTTAGACATAGAAAGTATGATTTTGCAAACAGATGCGTACAATTGGAAGCAAAAAGATGTAAGAATTAATAAATTGTTAAATGATTATTAAATCAACTTGTGTTTATTGAACTGTCATTAACGTTCCATCATACATTTGCCATAACTACTAAAACTGTACAACATCACCTATACTGTTTGCTAAAACTAAACATATAAGTATTAATTTTGTGCATGTTAGTCTTAAGCACCTAAATTAGAAATGTACTGCTGATTGTGTATTACTTAAACAAAATGTAAAAGCGAAATGTAAAGTAAGGAAACAATAAAAGCTATTTTATTTTTATTTTATTTATTTATTAATTTTACGGATTTTATCGCGTATATTAACTTATTTTATATTCCAGACGTTTCGAGTACTTTACAGCACCCATGGTCACGGGAGGGATTTAATTTTATTAATTATGGGATCCCAAGCAGATGGTAGCACCCAGCCATAATAAATAAAATAATAAGATAAAATCCGTAAAATTTGTTTTATTTAAATGTGTAGTGTTCGCGTAAATATAAGAAATCATTATAAAATTGACCATTTTTAAGGAAAACAAGATATTTACTGGGAATGAAGTGATCGCTTCCAAGCTGTTTCTAAAATAAATTTTGTAAGTAGTTTGCACAACCTTTCTCTTATTGTATAATTTACTTTGGAAAAAAAAAGTCCTGCTGGGTTTCTTGCTGATTCTTGCCAGGACAGAGGTTTTTCCAAACCACATAATTGACTTTCAATGGGTATTCTTGTAATCTATATTAAATAAAAATTATTCTTTTCTAATATAGGGTGGGCCAGAATTGGTAATATAGAATTGCGAATTTGAAAAAATCATTAAAAAAAAAACTAAGTACAATTCACATACAAATTTTTATTTGTACAAAAGTTTACATCTGGGAAATTCATTTCTTAAAAATAACATCACCCAGATGTGCACCATCGCGCTGCAAACATTCTTTGAATCTGAACCTCAAATTGGTAAAAACTCCCTGGCACATTGCACGGGGAATATCTGCCATTTCTTTCCGGATATTGGTCTTCAACTGGTCAATTGTGGCTGGGTTATTGGAGTAGACTACTTTTTAGGTATCCCCACAAAAAAATGCCAGTGGTGTAAGATCCGGACTTCTAGGAGGCCATACAATGTCACCTCGGCGCGATATCAGTTTCTCACCAAACATCTCGTTTACGACCGCCAAAGAGGCATTAGCTGTGTGGCATGTCGCGCCATCTTTTTGAAACCATGTCGCACGTTTATAGGCCTCAAATTGTTGCAGTTGTGGAAAGAAAAAATCCCTTAACATGGCTATGTATCGGTCAGAATTTACAGTGACAGATTGGCCTTGTCGATTTTCGAAGAAGTGGGTTCCGATAATTCCGTGCGCTGACATGGCCGCCCAAACGGTTACTTTCGGCGAATGTAGAGGCTTTTGATGTTTTGCACGTGGGTTCTCTGCAGCCCAGTAACGGCAATTCTGTTTATTCACCTGCCCATTGATGTGAAAATGGGCTTCGTCGGAGAAAAGAATATTGTTGAAACTCCGAAAGCGTTCCAGCATCGTTTCAACAAAAGCTCTCCTTAAAATTGGATCATTTGACTGTAATTCCTGCACAAGTTGAATTTTATACGGATGCAATTTCAGATCTTTCAACAAAATGCGACGCAAAGATGTTCTGGACACCACAAGTTCGGCTGAACGCTTTCGAGTCGATAGAGCAGGATTACGTTGAACTGAAGCTCTAACTTGTTCAATTGTGTCTTCCGTTCTTGTTGACCTTGGGCGTCCCGCAGGCTTCTGTTTGAGAGTCGAACCAGTAGCTTCGAACTTTCTGACCCACGATCGAATCACGCTTTCCTTCGTACACTGATTTAGGTCATGTAATCCAAACTCACGTCGAAATAAACGCCGAACAATAGCGCACGAATCGTGATTTTTATAAAAATGTTTAACGCAGAATGCACATTGCGCTCCCGTGAAGTGATCCATCGCGACTAAATTTCCGAGAACCGACCTACTTAACCCCACCACCCGCGCAGCCCCTCTCTAAAGCTTCAAACGCAACAGTGTTTTTAAAATCGTACTCCTTTCTGGCCCACCCGTTATCTATTCTATAAAAATTATTGTATCCATTTTTATAGGTATTGAGTTCCATTGAATAATTCTAAAGGTAGAACTTTTAGAACCAAAAAAATTATGGTTGTAAAAGTGAGCAAATGGACTATTAAGTTTAATTTGATAAATGCGAGACAATAATGCGGTGATTATAATATAATATACAAATGCGGAGTGCGTGTGGAAAATACCTCATGAAAGCGATAACAAAAGATGCAAAACACTCACCGAATCTCCTAATTTCTCCTAAGGCTTGAGGTACTCCACTAAAGCGACTTGAAAACTCCCATAATCAGTCTAACAGAAAAATAATATATGCAATGCGGCAGGAACAAACGACCACTCAACACGGTGTCTTCATAGTTGTCTATAGATCCATAGATAGAAACATGAGTTCCATTATGACCACTGTATCAACCTCTTTGTCATTGTTATTCTAATGAGAGACGCTCATGTCCAATATAAATAATTTAAAATTAATAAGGTTCTTTTTGTTTCTAGAAAAAGGGAAGAAAAAATGGCGGCGGCTGCAGCAGCGAGGGAAGCAGCGGAGAAAGAGAGACGAGCGGCCATGGAAGCTGCAGTTAAGGAGCGCATGGAGAAACAAGCGCATGCAGATCAGGGCAAGCTGGAACGACTAAAGGAAGCTGAACGGGTAAGAATCGTGAATTTAATAAAAAAAGCCTTGCCTTGAAAAAGTCACAAGTTAAGTAAGTTTTTTTTTACGTCTTTCAAGTACAACAGTGGCGTCCATAGCTACGTTCTTCGGTTTGTCCAGGACCACAGTCTCGCGGTTGCAGGGCTCGACACGACAGTTTCGTTCATATTCAACATTAATTTGCCTAACACCTTTCGTAAATTAATTATCAGCAACCTACTCATCCTGAGTGTGATTTTTCTCATATTAGTTATAACGTATATTGTCTTTTAGTTTCTTATAATATATATTTAGTTGAGTTAGATTATGATAGTTGTTAAATTTAGTTGTAATTTTAATTAAAAACTAATTCTTAGCCTGATTTAATCTCATTTCAAACTGTTTAAATTGGTTATACAGGCTTTTACCAAAAATACTATTGTATTTTTTATTGTTTGTTCCTGGTTTTGGTTTGTTTCTGTTATTAACTCCCTTTCAGATTTATACAGTAATACTAGCAAAAATAGCATATACTCTGTGCAAGTACTATAAATACTTTAATGGATGATTCACGCTACAACGTGGCGCGGCCGGGCCGAGCCCCGGCCGGGGCACGGTCAAACATTAAGGATGATTCACGCTACAACGTGTCGCCACCGGGCCGTGCCCGGCCGGGACACGTCCACCGTGCGCTGGCCGGGCCAGTCATTCATGTTACACCGGGCTGTTTGCACGACCGTGGTTTATGCACGACTCTGTGTTATGTGGTTTTTGTCAGCTAGTGATTTCATCTGTCGATAGACTTCACGCTTACATAAATATGCAATTTTCACAATTTGAATTGGCAGCTATTGCAATTGCCATCGATGATGAAGTATTGGAAAAACGAAGCGAAACTACTAAAAGAAGATGGGGTGTACATCCAACCTGGAGAAAGCGAGAAGCAGAAGGAGAATTTGCTTTACTTTACAAAGAATTAATAGATGATGAGAGCAAGTTTTATGGTTATTTTAGAATGTCTAAAGAATGCTTTACTTTTTTACTTGAAAAAGTAAAACCAGACCTAACCAAAAAAATTACAAGATTTCAAAAGCCTATATCTCCCATCGAACGATTAGCAGTCTGCATCAGGTAAATAATAAATTGATATGCACTAAATCACATAGTATTTAAAAATGTAGTATTACAAATTGACCCGTCTCACAACCATCTATCAGAGCTGGTTGTAAGATGGGTCGATTTTTTCTAAATACTTCATTTTCAATTTTTCAATAATCAAAATTGCATTGTGAATGAAAAAAAGTAAAAATTTAAATAATTCGCATAGTACTTATTCATTTCATTAGTCTGCCGTGAACTCTGAAAATAAAGTAGACAAATTATTAGATTCCAAAGGCGTAAGTTCCGAAGGCGAAGGTTCCTAAGGCGTAGGTTCCGTAGGCGTTGATTCCGGTGTTGGCGTTGGTGTAGTCTTCGGAACCGGTGCATACACCGACCTTGAATTAGTAGACGACGCTGACGTTGTTCCACTCATTGGAGATGTGTAAGAAGAAGGCTCTGATGACAATTGCTCCCACTCCAAATCTTGTACTACTGCAAATATTCTTCCTTTTGCAAGATGCTGATAGTAAGGGGAAAAAGATTTTATGGTGGCTGCCAAACCGTTGAAGAAAGCATCAATAGGATGAATGTCTTGTGTGTTGGACTTTTCTTTATTTTTTAGAATGTATTCCATTAATGCGCTTGACGCAGAGGACTGGGATTGTGGCACTATACGACGGCGATTGTGTGCAGTTGCAACGGTTGCATTGCGATTGCGGTTGCCGGAACGAGTGAATTGTGCAGTTGACGGGGGATATGGATTCGGATCAGCAGGTGGCGTAAAATTTGGTTCACTAATAGCTGGTGAGCGATCTTCCTGCTGCTGCTGTTCATCGGTGTTAATTGTTTTGTTGGGCGTAGTAACTGGCGAAGTAACCGTTTCGTTTTGCGTCTCTTCGTTCTCAGACTCGATACTTGTTATTGTATTTCGATCCTGTATATGAGGCAGTAAAAAATTCAAGCTCTCTTCATATTTATATTTTTTTATTGCCACAGCACCCTGTCCACTCTTGGTTTTACGTTTGTTTCTGTGTTTTTTGAACTGGTCCCGTATGTTTGCCCACCTTTTTTTACATACTTCATCTGCAAAAAGATAGTATAGAATGAACAAGTTAAGTAATTTTCTTTACAACCTGTATAAATGGTACTGTTAATACGTAATAGCTCACTGTAGTACACAGATACCGCGAAATTATACCATTATTATTTTTTCAGATTCCTGGCTACTGGGGATTCGTTTAAAACTATTTCGTACAGTTTTTGATTGGGGCATTCAACTGTGACCGAAATTGTACATAGCACATGTCGATCTATCGTTAAAAGATTTAAGAAAGACGTTATACAGAAGAAATGTGGCGTAAAATTGCCGAAGATTTTGAAAAGCTTAGAGGTTTTCCAAATTGTATAGGCGCATTGGATGGAAAACATTTTGTTATTGAAGCCCCAGCCAATAGTGGTTCTATATATTTTAATTATAAACACATATTCTCAATTGTTTTATTGGCGTTAGTGGACGCATGCTACAAATTTATTGCAGTTGATGTTGGCGCTTACGGACGAAACAGTGATGGTGGCATTTTTGCACAATGTAATCTTGGAAAACGTTTAGAAAATGGGACGCTTCATGTACCTATTGGTAAAAATTTACCCGGTTCCTCTACGTTTGCACCATATGTAATAGTTGGTGATGAAGCGTTTCCTTTGAAAACATACCTAATGCGACCGTATCCAGGACACCAAGCAACAGGTGACGCTAATAAAACGAATTTCAATTATAGACTGTCTTTGGCCCGGCGACTAGTCGAAAATGCCTTTGGTATTTTGACACAAAGATTTTGAATATTTCAAAGAAGAATGAAACTTGCTCCAGAAAATGTTGATTACATTATTCTATCTACATGCGTACTGCATAATTTTTTATGCGAACAAAAAGATTACACAGGGATTATCAATCATAGTGCACAAAATGCGCAACCACATTTATTACTACTCTTCATTCTGTACATCAATGACCTTCCAAAGTGTACGCAATATCCTGTTACACTCTATGCTGACGATATTTCTATAATTATACATAAAAACCCTAACAATAACTATAATGATGAAATAAATAATGAAATAAGAAATATAACGAACTGGCTAAAGTATAATGATTTGAAAATTAATACAAGTAAAACAAAGTGTATACAATTTTACAACAAAAATGGTAAACCCCAACAACTATCGATACACCATGGTAACGATCCCATTGCTATGACCACATCAGCGAACTTTCTCGGTATTATGATTGATTCCGAACTCACATGGCAGAATCACGTTGAAACTGTATGCCAGAGGATTAATAGGTTTGTGTTCGCTCTGTATCGTCTGTCAAAATTAGCTAACATTAAGACAGCTCTGATGGCATACCATGGATACGTTGGTTCTATACTGAGATATGGACTGATTCTGTGGGGAAATTCGACACACATTTCTCGTGTCTTTATACTACAGAAGAAATGTATACGATCTATATGCGGTGTCGGTCAAATGGAATCATGTAGACCTTTCTTTAAGAAGTTAAAAATTCTTCCATTACCTTCCCTATATATATATGAAATTTTAATATTGACCAAAAAAAATGCTAACCACTTCACAAAACAACATAATAATTGTGGTGGTATGAGAAGGTACCCGTGGAAGTTATCTGTACCACAGGCAGCCACAACTTGTTCTACTAGAAATAGTTATAGCATGTGCGTTCGATTAATTAATTTAATTCCAAACCATATTCAAAACTTGACATTTAATCAGTTTAAAAAAGTTATTTTCGGGACTCTCATTGAAAACTGTTTTTATGACGTAAATGAATTTATTAAATTCTGCCGTGACGGTCACCTCAAGCGAATTGTTGTTATTTGAAATTTTAAATTGACAAATTAATTAGAATTTGTAAGATTGACATTATACTAGTTTGACATTATGCATTATGACATGACCATGCCTGTATATTTTTTATTATTTTTTTCTCTTTTTACATAATAAAGGAGACGGTCCATTTCTGGCCCAGTCTATGTACAGTATACCGTAAAATAGAGAAAAATTCAGGGATTTTGTTAAAAATAAAATGAGAGAATAAATCAAACTAAATAACTTGCAAAAAATAAAAATGCAATTCCAAGTTTTTAATGGTTTTACAAGATGGTGCCCTTCCAGTCATAAAAAAGCAAAAAAGACACGGTTATTTGTCAAATGTCATTTCTGTCAAATGATATTTTTATTTAATCCGAACTTGTTCTGAACTCGTGAATGTATTTAATTGTGGATTTCTTTGGAGATTTGGACTTTGGATTACGACTTTTTGACTCTGCTTTTGTTTTATGAACTTAATTATTTACGTGAGATCTCGATTTCGTTGATATCGGACATCTGTATTCTGTAGAATCACATTTTGAATCAGTAAGCAGGTAAGCAGGTATGTATTAAAAAAAGATGTTTCCTTAAGCTATTAAACGCATTTTAATGACATGCTTCTATCTGTAGTCTGTTAATAATTATTAATTTCTACATAAGTTCATAATGGCTGCAAAATCTTAATATCATTGAGTTATATGTACTACGTACTAGAGAAGCCATTCCGAACATTGACTATGTTCAACTGAACTGTAGTGCAATCCATACAAACTAAATATTGCGTAAATTGAAGATTTGTGAATTCCATAAAATAATTATTATTACATTTTATTTAGAAATATGTTTGTTTAGATTAAATTAAGATATTTTATATTAAATTCTTATATTTATTTTATATTAATACCTTATTTTATATTAAATTAAAGTCTTCGCGCATGCGCGACTACTACTCCCGCGCATGCGCGAAGACATAGAGTAGGGCACAATTTTTGTTTGGGATGGCTTCTCTAGTACGTAGTACATATAACTTAATGCTTAATATGATGTAATTATCTTTCAGTTCACCTGTTAAAACATGTTGCACTGTCTAAAATGCGCTTCTGCAATATAGATAGTTTATTAAAGTAAAATTGTTTTGTTCTAGATGGATGAAAATGCACCAATATGTTCACAATGTTTTGCAAACGTATTACGAGAATTATCTGTCGGCACAAATCATGAAAATGAACTTCAGCGCCCTAATGCCAATATTATGAGTATATTGTATATTGGTGTCAACGAAGACGGGGTAGCAGATAAGTTGTAACCCGATTAATATAACCCCAACTATACTCTGTTTTAATAAGCGGCCGTATAAAATCTCACCATCACTCGGACAGAGCTTATTATACATATATACTGTTGGCGAGACAAGGGACAAGTTGGGATGAGATGATTGCAGGTTATTATTGCAGTTGCACTTCTGGATAACAGACAGTGGGTTGCTGTGCCCACATAATGACCGCTGCCTGGTATTTGTGTTGGGCTCGGTATCAAAATTCCATAACCGCACCGGCCTCAATTCTGGATGGCATTTTATTAAGAGAGAATTTCGAAGTAGGATAAATAAATAAAAAAATTTAAAAATTAAGCTGTTTTATTTATATTACCTTAAGTATCCAAAACATGATTGACCTAATGTTTCACTTTCTATAACTTATAGGACTGTTCACCTTTGTTATGACATTATCCAGACTTTAAATGTCTGTCAAGGCTCAAGGCATACTCCGACACGCTGAGGACCTGTTATATGAAAATATTTGTACGCCGGAAACGTATTTAGGATGCGAATTCTTTTGTAACAACTGTAATGTACCATATTATAACAAATATATTATCTATGATTGTACTCTAGCACTTCAGCAGCCCAGATAGATACATATACCTGAACAGAAATTAGTATTCAAGATTATTCTGTTTATCCACCTTAAAACAGCCACTCTAAAGTAAAATGAGTTAAATATATTCTTAATTATTAGTGCAATAAAGTAGTATCTCAGGGTGAATTTTTTAGGGTAGAGAAACGGAGTTACCCGCTATTCACATATAATCTCGGCTTTGAGCTATCTGGCACATAATTTTTGTAAAAGCTAACAAAACACTTAGACTCCATTTCCCCATGTAAAACAAAAATGTCCTGGATGCCCCTGGCACTGAAGTGTGCATTAGTACACACTAATGAATGCAATGATATAATTTTGTGTGTAGACACCGTTGATTTATCTCAACAATCTTCTTGTCTGGAATTAGGTAGTACTTTTACATTTGCGCTCTGACCGCGCGATGTCTTATCATTAATCTATGGCTATAGGTGATATCAGAGATGACAGCTAACGTCAAATCAAAACGACTTCAATTCGCCATTAGTGTTGCAGTTTTTGGTGAGAATAAATATTAATTGCACTGAAATTAAGGCAAATTCGTGAATTTGAATGATCAAAAGTGGTTTAATATTTCATTTTAACTTATTTCCATACTAGTACATAAACTAGGCCTACGCTTCATACAATTTTGGACCGTCTCCTTTATTGACATTATATTGCTTTATTAAATTTTGATATGAAACGTTATTGTAATTTTGTAATTTTAATTATTCAATTATTGCATGTCGACTTAATATTTGCACACTGATAAATCGGTAAAACATGCATGTTCACACTATATTATAAGACCTAAAAATGTACCATGTTTTATGCAAATAAATATTTTATTATTATTATTATTTATTAAATCCATTGAGCGTTCAACCAGGAAGACCGGCTAATGATGCATTTGCGGTAAGAGAAACGTTTAAAGAATATTTAGCGTCAACAGCGGGACGTAATTTTATAGGACAACAGTATCAAGAATAAATACATACTTACACTATAATATACTTCTTATAATTTACCTAACATATTCTAAAATACCTACTAAAAACCGATAATCCCACTCACATGTACTTACATGTTGTCGTAAAGTAATTAGTGACACTTGAATAACTATTATAAATGTAAATTGAAATAAAAGTTACAACTTACCAGATTGTTTTATTTCGTCCGAAATGGTTTTCCAAATAATATTTTTGTATTTGTTATCTAAATACTTAGGATGGCTCATATCGTAAATCACAGGGTACTTGCGCACACATTCTAATAATTTTTCATCGTCCATTTTGCTGTTGAGCTGCTCACTTCACTAAGATTTGACGTTGACTGCTCTCCGGGCGCCCGGGCGCATATGTTCATGTTACAACGTGTCGGGGCCGGACCGTGCCGGAGCCGGGAAACAATACCCACCGACATTTCAACGCCGTGCCCCGGCCGAGTCCCGGCGGCGTACGGCCGGGCCACGGTCAGGCATGAATCGCTTCATACAAAAAGTACACCATAATGTTTGACCGTGCCCCGGCCGGGGCACGGCCCGGCCGCGCCACGTTGTAGCGTGAATCATCCTCGGTGTAACATGATTGACTGGCCCGGCCAGCGCACGGTGGACGTGTCCCGGCCGGGCACGGCCCGGTGGCGACACGTTGTAGCGTGAATCATCCTTAAGAAATGTATGTAATGTATGTATTGTAAAATCGCTGGTAGTCCCAATAAATAAATTAAAAAATATTGCCCTGTGAATTTATTAAATTACTAATTAATATTTGCGATTCGCCCAGGTTTAGCACAGGTGATTTCTGAATCTCGACAACAGCTTCACCTACCGGGTAGAATTGTAAATCTAAACCATCCAGGGACCCACCCAAACACATACAAATAATTTCATCAGAATCCGTCAAGTCAGTTTCGAGTAACTAACGGACAGCAATTGATTTTTATATATAGAATAGAATAGAATATTTTTTTATTCAATATACATTACATGTGTAATTCTTATTGAAAGTAATTTTTTACTTTACCACTGGTTCGAAAAAAACCCTCTGTCCTGGGAAGAACCAGCAAGAAACCCAGCGGGACTTTTTTTTTAAATAAATTTTACAATATAAATGATTACGAACTATTTACAAAATTTATTTTAGAAACTGCTTGGAAGCGACCACCTCATTCCCAGGGGTTATTATCAACCATGTATTCATTTATACAATAATAACCCTTTTTATACAGTTTCAGCTTAATAAAACATTTAAACTTGGTAATAGAGAGAACCTGTACACTTTCCGGGACCTTGTTGTAATAGCGTATACATTGCCCCAAGAATGAATTACTGACTCTGTGGAGTCGAGAAACTGGTATCACTAGCTTGTGTTTGTTCCTAGTGTTTACAGAATGTATATCACTTTTTTTTTTTAGAGATTATTACTACTTATTGAAAGTCAGGTTTTATGTACATACATTACATTTTTATAAATATATTGCAATGCCAAAGTTATTTTAATTTTTAAAAACTTTCTCCGAGGGACTCTTTACAATTTAATTTATAAATCTCCCGTACGGCCCTCTTTCGCAGAAAAAGCTAGAGCTCGCCCGTAAGGTAGCGGAAACGGAAGAGCGACGTAGAGCGGAGGAACAAGCCCGCTTGCAACGGCTCGCGGAGGAACAAAAGAGGGCGGAGGCGGCCAGACGTAAGCAGCAGGAAGAAGCCGAGATGTAAGTTTATTGTTTGGTGAAATTATTGAGGTTTCTTTTGATTTTTATCTACGAAGGAAAAAAACATAATTTTAAATGGTAGTTCCATTTAAAAATAAATAATTAGTAATAATGTCCTCCAAACCGAATTTCGGTCATGGTGGCCAGCCTCCGCGGAAACTAGCCATCGGCGCAAGACAGGATAATAGTGGCCGAGTGTATGCGCAAGCACAGGTGCACTCTATTCCCTTACTCTCATAGTCCGATGGGACGGTAATCCGATACGACCGGAGAGGGATCAGGCGCCAACGGGTTTACGTGTTTTCCGAGGCACGGGGGTGAGATACCACCAACTTGCTGACTTCGGGCAGCAACTGATAATTTCTTGATGGAAAAACTGTCCGGGTCCTCATGATTAGCAGTCGCACTGCCACAACCTCTAGCCCAACGAGGCAGTCAATATATTATGTACTTATAAATAATAACATGACTATTGGCCAAATACTCAATCGCTACTCAATGTTAACTTGTCGTTAAGTCTCATGGTGTCACAGTCACTGACTTGAAGTGATAGAGACAGCACGAGATTTAACGTCATCTTTAAATTGAGTAGCGTTTGAGTATTTGGGCATACTACATGTTAATTAATTATTATTATAGTAATCTTAATTTTTCACTTCTTATATCCTTAAATTGCTATTTAATTAAATTTATATAGTTTTTCACATGAACTTAAATCGAGACCTGGAGCAATTATTTGTATATCATACAAACACTTACTCCGTGCAGGATTCGAACCCGCGGCCGTTACCCCGCAGTCACAGAATCGGACCACAGGGACCAATAAATGTATTGATATGTTAAAATTTGTAGTAACGAAACTCAGGTCCATTACAACTTTCAAACGGAATAGAGATATAAATAAACCAAATTTCACCATCACAAGTGGATAACATTCTCAATGCCATCTACTCTATCTGGATGCTTAGCGGTCCACTACCAAGAGGACTATGGATTTCTACCCTTCAAGACCACTTTGTAGAATTTGCTGTCATCAACAGTTTTTCCGAATCAATATGATTTTGGGACCTTAAAGAAAAGAGTCGACTATTTTTTAAAAGTCCGGCATCGCACGAATGATGATGTGATGATAATGTTATAATGGTGTTACCAACTAAACAGAAACCGAAGTCTACGACCATACTAACATTCTATTACCATTTTGTATTTTAATATATGTTCTCCTTATATTATTTACAGAGTGAAAAAGGAAGCGGCTACTATGGCGAAAGAGATGGAAAAGAGGCACAAAGAGTACATAGAAAAGCAGAAGATGAAATTGAAAATGGACGGCGATCGCAGTAAGTATTGTCAAACGAAGTTTAGCCTTACTACTAAAACGTGGTAGAGCCATGCTGCAGCTATATTATATTACTGGTATAGTTGTAGCACAAATGGGTCGGCTCGACTGGGGAAGGACCACGCTTTCACAGAATACCAGCTTAACATAGCAGCTTGATGCTGCTATGTTTCGTATGGTGAGTGTAGAGAACCGGAGCCCCATTCTTCTGGAAACGAGGAATTCCATCTTAGTTCTCACGGCTGCCAGCGCATCTGCATTTTGATTCGCAAACGAGGATAGATGTCTATGGGCCACAGTAACCACTTATCATCAGCTGGACTGTGTGCTCGCTTGTCACCCTTATTCTATAAAAAAGAAAACTACAGAGTAGAGATAATAATTTCTTCTTACCATCCGTCAAGAACCATGGTAGCTCAGTTGGTTAGCGCTCGCTGTAAGCTTCACAGTACTCGAGCAACCCGGGTTCGATCCCCGCCGGCACCAATGAAATTGTTAATTGCAATTTTAAGTGCTGATTTACCACATGCTCGGCGGTGAAGGAAAACATCGTGAGGAAACCCGCATGTCTGAGAAATAAGAAAAAAATATTTCGAAGACATGTGAAGTTCGCAAACATGCATTGAGGCAGCGCGGTGGACATTTCCTTGCCCTAAAACCCTCTCAGAAATGAGAGGAGGCCTGTGCCCAGCAGTGGAACGTAAATAGGCTACAACTTTACTTTACTTTACATCCGTCAAGTGTAATATCCCTCTACAAGATGCATGAGTGTACAAGCATGATTGTGAATACAGTCTCGTATATAGGGCAAGCAAAAATAACTATAAAAACCCGCGTAAAAGAAGAAGAAGGGAAGTCTGCAGTTTCTGATCATATCCTAGATGGCTTCCGCCCATTACATCGGATTTGATAGACCACAAACGCTCGCGAAAGAATATCGATTTCTACCAAGGATGATACGTCAGGCTATTGAAATGAAAAAAAAACATCCCAAATTGAATAGAGAAAGAGACTGGGTACTACCACCTGCTTTGGATACTGTAATTAATAGAATTAAAACTAAACCCATGTATACCACTGCAAGACTTCAAAACACAGTAAGTTCATTCTGTAAAAGTAATTTTATTCAATGTAGAGCTACTACTACTTTCGGTCCTTCGAGCCTCGGGACCATTTGCTTTGAAACTATCTAAATAATTGCTTAATTAATTATTCAGGTTATTCGTATTATCAACGTGTGGAGATTACTCCCATCCCCATCTCACTAGTGTCGAGACAACTAGATTAGTTTATTTCAGTTATTTCCATAGCATAATGTCTTATGCGATTTTGCTCCGGGGAAATGCGGCTGATTCAGAGACTATTTTTTTTTTACAAAAGATGGCCATTCGAGCTATTTACAACCTAGACCGAGACAGTCTCTTAGAGATAAATTTAAAGAAATAAATATATTAACTTTGTTCTCTCAGTATATTTACGAAAATTTAATGTATGTTCACAAAAACAAAGGTAGTTTTAGTAAAAAAAAGTGATACATTATGTAAACACTAGGAACAAACACAAGCTAGTGATACCAGTTTCTCGACTCCACAGAGTCAGTAATTCATTCTTGGGGCAATGTATACACTATTTACAAATTTCCCGGAAAGTGTACAGGCTCTCTCTATTACCAAGTTTAAATGTTTTGTTAAGTTGAAACTGTATAAAAAGGGTTATTATAGTATAAATGAATATATGGTTGATAATACCCCTGGGAATGAGGTAATCGCTTCCAAGCTGTTTCTAAAATAAATTTTGTACTAACCATTAATGTAAAATATGCTTTTAAAATAAGTCCCGCTGGGTTTCTTGCTGGTTCTTTCCAGGACAGAGGTTTTTTCGAACCAGTGGTAAAGTAAAAAATGACTTTCAATAAGAATTACACATGTAATGTATATTGAATAAAAAATTATTCTATTCTATTCTATTCTATTCCCCCATTCTCCTGTTCAATTCGGAAGTACAAGTGACTGAAGTCACAGTCACTTAGTCTATCTAATAGTAAGATACTTTGGTACATTGACACACAAAGTAAAATGTATGTGTTGCACTGTGAAATTCGTAATAATTTCTATCGACGCCCAAAAAATAAAACACACATCATATCATCCACTCACTCTCCTCACACTCTACACACACATTAAACATACACTACACATTCACTATACACACACTTCACAATTTATACACACACCCTCACTTAACATTCAATTATAATCCGAGGGAAGAGCAGGACCACTCATTACAAGCATTTTACACTCTTCCAGGGTGGTTCTGGCCATGGCATAATACTATTACTAATCAATGTTAAGAAAATAAACTATATATAATTTTTTTAACTGTGAACTAAGATACATGGAATGCTCGTCACATGTTAGTTGTATATGTAAATATTATATTTTAAGTTATGTTTTTTTTATAAGTCCAGCTGGGTTTCTTGTCGGTTCTTCCCTGGACAGAGGTTTTTTCCGAACCAGTGGTAAAAGTTAAAATGACAATAAGAATTACATGTACTTAAATTGCGACGAATCTCGACAGTCTTTAAAACATAATTTAAAGTGTAAAATGATTTAATGTTCTTTCAAAGATGTTTAGTTACGGAATGAATTAAAATTTATGTTAATTAAATAAGTCCTGGACAATTAATCATATCTTCCCACCGAATAGGTGTGGGAGTTGTTTGTCCTACATTACTTAGAATTAAACTTAACTTCTTATGCATATACTGATATGTGGCTGCTTGTAATATTGACTCAGGACTGATGGAGGCGATATAATTATGTAATCAATATTGAATAAAAATAATTCTATTCTATTCATGAAATAGCATTATTTTACGCTGGCATTCTGTGAAAGGATTTGTTGAGGCGAGCTATTCATGCTGCTTCCAAAATATGTGGGTCTACTTTGTATAAATATATATTATAATTGTGCAAGTATAGCTTGTCATCATCATCATCATTCTCTAAACCATTTCCCATTATCTGGGGTCGGCGCAGTAAATCTTTTTGTTCCATTCCTCTCTATCAGCCGTCATTTCCATACTTACTCCTTTCATTCTCATATCACTCTTCACACAATCGATCCATCTTTTATTCGGCCTTCCTCTGCCCGTGTGTCCCTCCACATTCATATTCAACACTCGTTTTGTGACATGACTTTCATTCCTCCGCATCACATGCCCAAACCATGCCAATCTGCTTCCTCTCACCTTTTCTACCACTGGCGCTACTTCAGGCTTCCTCTTATATACTCATTCCTTATCTTATCCATCCTTGTCACACCACACATCCATCGTAACATTCTCATTTCGTTCGCATGCAGTCTATTTTCATCCTTCTTCTTGACGGCCCAGCATTCACTTCCATACATGACGACAGGTCGGATGATCGATTTGTAAATTTTCCCCTTCAGCCTTATTGGCATTCGGGGATCGCACGTTGTGGCTGTGACCTGTCGCCATTTCATCCACCCTGCGTTAATCCTATGCTGCACAGCTCTATCTATTCCGCCGTCGCCTTGAATGAGGGAACCGAGGTACTTGACATCTGAGCAGATAGGCAGTATGGCGCCATCCAACGACATGGGTACAGGACTGGAAAGACCGCCGAAATCACAGCACAGATATTCGGTTTTGGATCTGCTGATCTTCAGGCCAACACTTTCCAGCCTCCGTTGCCACCCCGTCAGTCTGCTCTGTACCTCGATGCCTTCTTCCCCGACAAGCACGATGTCATCGGCAAAGAGCATGCACCAGGGTGCCTCATCCTGCAGGTCCGACGTCAAAGCGTCCATAATCAGTAGGAAGAGGTAAGGGCTCAGTGCCGACCCTTGGTGCAGCCCTACCGCCACATCGATACTGCCCGTAGTTCCCGCGGCAGATCGTACACATGTACGGGATGCTCTGTACATAGCACGGACCAACCTCACATACTTCCCAGGCATACCTTTCATCTTTAACGCCCACCACAAGACCTCACGGGGAACCCGATCGTACGCCTTTTCAAGGTCGACAAAAACCATGTGCAAATCTTTATGCACGCGCTTGTACTTTTCGCACAATTGGCGTAATGCGAAAATGGCATCTGTCGTACCTCGACCGGGCATGAATCCGAACTGGTTTTGTGTTATCTCACACTCTTCTCTCATTCTTCTCTCTATTATTCTTTCCCAGACTTTCATCGTATGTGACATGAGCTTTATTCCCCGGTAACTGCTGCAGTTTTGAACGTCTCCTTTGTTTTTAAAAATGAGAACCAGTATACTACTGCACCATTCCTCAGGTATTTGTTCTTCCTGCAACAATTTACCGAAAAATAAACTCAACCACTTCCATCCATCCGCCCTCAGCAACTTCCACACTTCTACTGGTATTCCATCTGGGCCGACCGCCTTCCCATTCTTCATATACCTAACAGCCATTTTTACTTCTTCCACACTAATTTCTCTCACTAAGCCCATATTCACTGGTGGGTTTTCAAGCATACCATTCCATTCATTCTCCTCATTCATCAATTTCTCAAAATACTCCTTCCATCGCTTCTTTATACTTTCATCGTCAGTCAAAATCAGAATCATCTTTTATACATTTTACATGTGAGACATCTCTTCCATTCCTTTCTCTCGCTCTTGCAATTTGAAAAAGTCGTTTTTGACCTTCGGGGCTTTCAAGGGACCGATATAATTTATCGTGCGCCTCTGCCCTACAAATAGCAACTTCCTTCTTCGCTCTCTTCTTACATTCTTTATACGCCCCTCTCTTACTTTCTTTTATGGATTCATTCTGGTCTTCTACGCTCTGCCATTCTTTAAAGGCATTTTTCTTTTCTCTCAAAACTTCTCTAATACTTTCACTCCACCACCACCCATCCTTATCTATCATACGCTTCCCTTTTGTTTCTCCTAACACCTTCCTTGCCACACTTCGGATACAATCAGCCATTTCCTTCCAGCACTCATTCACACTCATTCCTTCCAAATCACCCATCTCTATCATCTTGTTTACAACTAGCTCTCTAAATTCACTTGCATACCCCTCCTTATGCAACAAATGCCACTTTATTTTGGGTGGGGGACGATCCTTATGTTTGTTGAGGCGAACAGTTAAGCAGATGTCAGCCAGCAGAATTCGGTGCTGGGATACTAAGTCTTCACCTGGAAGCACTTTGCAGTTTTTTACACTCTTGATTTGGTTCCGTCTTATCAGAAGATAGTCGATCTGTGTCGCGTGGTGGCCACTTTTATAAGTAACAAGATGCTGATCTCGTTTTTGGAACCACGTGTTTACTACAGCCAGGTCGAAAGCACATGCTGCTTGCAGAACCACGTGTTTACTACAGCCAGGTCGAAAGCACATGCTGCTTGCAGAAGAACTTCCCCCTCACGGTTCCGCACTCCGTACCCCCATCCACCGTGTACTCTTTCATACCCGTCATTCACTCTCCCTACATGTCCATTAAAATCTCCTCCCATATAAACATCCTCACGCTCAGGTATTCCCATCATCATACAATCAAATTCCTCCCAAAACTTCTCTTTCACACTCTCTTCACAGCCTGTTTGCGGAGCATACACACTTACAACATTCACTACTTTGTTTTCAATCATTAATTTAACAACTATCATTCTGTCATTTACTCTTTTCACATCTGTCACTCGTTCTTTCATTCCACTATCTAACACAACTCCTACTCCATTTCGCTTCCCATCACTTCCACAATAATAAAACTTGTATCCCTCCCCAATCTCTCTTGCTTTATTGCCCTTCCATTTTGTTTCCTGCAAACAGGCAACATTCACTCTTCGTCGTTTCAAAACATCTGCTAACTCTCTTCCTCTTCCAGTCATCGTACCTATATTCCAGCTTGCAAACCTCACTCTGACATTCTTCTCTCTCCGGGCTCGCCTCTTACGTCGCACCCGCTCCGTAAGGTGCGACAACCCTTGCCCACTTCCCACAGGAGCCGGGTGCTGCCCCTGCGCGTCGCCTGCGGGGTACGCCCTAGCCCTGTCATATGTCCCACAACTCGTACTATTCATTTACTGCATGGGATTTGGCAAAAGTTTTACAGTCGGCCGCCTGCCTGACACCAACCCTCTTTGGGTATGCTATTGCTGGTAGAGGAAGCTACCATTTTGGGAAAAGGAAAAAGAAGTTTGGGGGGTAGGAGCATAGGTGTAAGGATACTGTTATCTCGGCAGGAAAGGTATGAGAATAACAGTAGCTCGGGGAGCCGGGGTCGCGTACCCGTATTCCATACCAGGATCACCGGAAAGGTAGACCAGCATGAGAACCCCCTGACTCTGTGCAAGTATAGCTTGTGTTTGATTGTTTTTCTTGCTTTAATTAATGGGTTATTTTTTTAATAATAAAATTCATTAATTACAGCGTATCCAAGTCCACTGCTGAATATCGGCCTCTCCCATAGATTGCCTTGTCTGTCAGATATGTTGTTGAATCAACATCAAGATGGAATACCTCATTTCCAGTAATAAGATCTTTGGTTCTATATAGTTACCATACGAAACAGTAGCATTAAGCTGCTATTTTACGCTGGTACTCTGTGAGAGCGTGATCTTTCCCGGGTCGAGCCGACACATTTGTGCTTCATCCATAATACAGCTGCAAATTTAATGAATTACGATCGAATTTCGACCACTGTAGGATCATTAGCAAAAATAAAAATAAAATTTATTAATTATAAAAATGTGTTTGTATCTTAATATCCTTGGTAATCAAGGCAATCAATACGGAAAGGGTTTAATTAAAAACACTGAAACCTTAAACATCCATTTATTCACTAATAAGACTCCACCAATACAGGGTAGCTGTCAAAAATGTTATTATTGTCTATCGACAAAATCTACTACAAGTATTAGTAAAATTTGTTGTATTACAGCGACGCCGCTGAAGTCGTGCCTGACGGGAGGTGTCACAGTACAAGAACCAGTGTACATGGCGGACGGCTTCCAGTATCTCAACTCAGATTCCGAAGAGGAGGCTCCAGAGCACCCCGTGCCCTCATGGTCCACTTCCAAGGTTCGAATCTGCTCTCTGTTTCTTATCATAGTTGTACCATGAATGGGTCGGCTCGATGACCACGCTCATGAAAAAATGAAAAATTGTTTATTTCTTTAAAAGGATCATACATTATATGTGTAGGTATGGGAGTAATTGGGATATCCTTTTAAGTAACTATATACTTGTGGCGGGATGCCCTGCTCTTCTATAGCAAGAATTAAATAAACACAAAATAAATTAATTTAAAAAAATACAAGAAAATTAAGCTTATATTTATTTAGTGAGGGTTTTATATTAGTGTGCAAGTTTTTGAGAGCACGAGTCCTATAGGTGCGCGCGCGCGCGCGCTTTTGTGTGAGTGTGTGTGTGTGTGTGTGTTATGTAAAATTTATTTTATTATCTTGTTTACATTGCCTTTCATACAGGGTTGGCCGCAGGAAAATAAAATAAGATATGATTTAAATTTATTAATGAATAACTTTTCATGTAATAATAATTTAAACTTGACATTTAATTGTTACAATTATGATGATAGAATTAATTTAATAGATATAAATAATTTAATTAAGAAATTTTTGACTAGAGATAGGTATTACCTATCAAAATATAATTTAAGACAGATAGCAAATGTGCTATCTTATTATTTATATATTAACTCAGCCAAGGACTTGGCTACACAGACATCTGCTTCTTTTGAGCAGTGTAATGACTTAATATGCAATTTGGAATCAGTTCCAAGTAATTTAAATTAGAAAATGAGACAATAGAGGTAATCTCTAGCAGTTATAATAACTTAAATAATTTAGAATGTGGCTTACAAATCTTTAATTGTATGACTCTACAGAAAGATAATGAAAATTGTTTACACCTGGTGCATCAAAATATACAAGGCATGATAGGCAAAGAGCTAGAAATTGAGTTGTTCTTAAATAGCAACAATATTCATATCTTATGTATTACTGAACATTGGTTAAAAGCTTATAATTTAATGTTTAGCTTCAGTAATTAAGACTTTAACTAGCCTGAATGACCTTGACGATACGGCGATCGCAGAGATTTTAGCCGATGTCAACACCGTCTAGCAACTACGTTCTGTATTACTTATAAAAGTGCAAAGATTAATAGACTGCAGAGATGACAATTATATAAGTGACATACTGCCTGTTATGCTTGCGCATCACAGAATTATGTCGCGGTTACGCATCTTCAATTACATTGCACGGTGTGGTGCTGTAGCTTTGTCCGGTAGGCATCACGAGCTATCAAGTGTTCAAGTTTCAAGTACGTAAGAATTTTTATTATATATGTTAAATCGTATTTATTTGTATCGTATTAGTAGATCTGGGTCAAAGCGTTCGCTGTAAATATTTTCCCGGGTTTGATCCCCGACAGCACGAATGAATTTTGTAATTGCAATTTTCGTCAACACGCATTGGGGAAGCACGGCGGGCATTTCCTTGCCCTAAAACCCACTCAGAAATAAAAAAAGAGTCCTGTGCCCAGTAGAGGGACTTGTATAGCCTATTACTTTACTTTGTAGCAATATTTATATTCGTTTCAGATATAGAAGGGTACCTTATGCTGACAAAAATATCATGTGGAGGCGACGAAAACGTAAAACATCTTTGTACCTAGATAAAACGTTCGAAAGATTGTCAGTCATGTCATACGCCACATTTTCTATAGAGCGTAGAACATTGCAGATAGGGCAAAATAAAAAATAATCCAATATATTATGGGAACTATTTATTAATAATATATACATTTATAGGTATTTATAATAAAAATAATGAACAAACTGCAAGGTTCAACTAATAATGTTTTTTGTAAACACAATCGTAAAATTCCTGTCTTAATTTTCACCAATGGTTAATTGATGAAACGTAGTCCAGATCACTTCATATAAAATATATTTAATTAAAATTGACACGTGACCTATTTCGCCTTGTACTTACAACTCGGCGGAAATTTGAAAAGAAATTTTGTCTTTTCACACAAGTATTGTTTACAACTGGCGTGCTTTCGAAAAGCGTGATTAAGTGTCAGCGGTATATAAACAATTAAACACTGAACTTTATTGAAATTTATTTTTTTTTGTTTATTTTTGTTATATCTTCTTAAAAACTGATGCCATCTCACTATTTTATTATTTGTTTTTTTTTTTGTACGCATAAGGATAAGTTAGACTAAGTTAGATTAACTTGGACAAGTTTAAATTTTTTTAAATTTTATCACAAAATTTCCGCAATAAATTATTACCTTTTCTACAGTGATTCTCTCCTCTTAGTTTCGGCGTGACTGTAGGATGTTATAGTGAGTCACCGTCAGTTACTAAGCGGCCATAAATCATTATATGTATGTATAGACATACACATATACATTTTTTGATTTTAATATTTATGTTTTTTGAATTGTGATTGATTTTTTGAGACCTGGTAAAATTATTCCATACCAATTGATGGGCGTAAGTATAATGCCAGTTATGCTCTTTGGCTGAAGTTATTTTTTATTTTATGCTCAATTGCAGATAAAACAATATTGATTGCGCATTTCTAAAACAAAATTTTACCTCTTCTCCTTCTTATAATAGCTCCTGCACCTAACACGGCGGAATAGTTATTATTATCTATAAGACCATTTGCGAAAACAGTTTTTGTTAACAGTTATGAGTGTAACATTTTATCAGCTGCTTTGTTTATAGTGCCTTAAGCAACACTTTGCAGGTTTCTGTACAGAAAATGATGCTGGCTTTGCCAATACGGATGGCCGCTACCATTGAATATAATACCCGCTATGTTACACTTATTTACATAGAAACTTTAATTACCATTTGCATAAAATTCTAAATAGCACTTTTTACACAAGAAAGTAAACTTTTAGATCAGTCCATTTTGTTTTTCACTAATTAAGTAAAAAGTAAAACAAACCAATAGGGCCGGGAATTAAAATTTCTTGCAATTTTTTATAGAAAAGCATGACCTTAACATAATATAAAAGTTAATCATTTAGCCATGTCATAAAACTTTTAAGTGTGCCAGTCAAACATTAATGATGATATTCGGGTCATTATACTGGAAATAGTCTTTTAAATATTTTGTAGTAGGTACAATTGATAATCTTCAGTATGATTGACCGTGTATATGACTTTTATAAGTCTATGTTATTTTTGATGAAAATTATTATTGCAGATAAAAGCCCTTTCACATTTATTTTAGTCTCGAATTAAATTAATCAAAATGAAAATAATAACATTGGCTCTTTATAACTGATCTTTAAATGTAAAATACTGACTTGAAATTATATAATTATTAGCATTTTTTTTAATTCATTGAACTTTTTTAAGATTTTGTTGAAACTCTACTGGTAAAAAAAAACAAATATATATATATATATATATATATATATATATATATATATATATATATATTATAGTTCTTGATGAAAATAATGTATGCGCGTTACATCGCATCCCATCAAGAATTTCTAATGTAATTCTTGGTGTAAAGCTAAGACGTGATAATAACTGTAAACAATAGAATAACAAAATAATGAAAACATTTACATTTACATACAAAACATTTACAAAAATACTTGCTTTATAACCTAATAAATATTATTTGACCGTAATAAAATAAAGCAAGGTAGTCTTGGGCATGAAAGTAAAAATAAATATTTTCGATTATTTTTGCAATATCTAACAGCCGGATCAGCGGGCGATTCTGATCCATCTAAAGATGCTAAATTTTAGCAAGCACTGTCAAATTCAATAGGAGTGACAGAAAAACGGTTCTTGATATAGAAAGATAAAGAAATTATTTAACCTATAAAGTAAAATCACTTTATTACAAATCAAAATAGCCCAATAGCTTTATTAACATGAGACATAATTGTACGAGTGCTTAACATTATTTTACTGAAATCTCAGAAAGTTTTTTTTTTTAAATAGAATAAGGGTGATAAACGAGCACACAGTCCACCTGATGGTAAGTGGTTGCTACGGCCCATACACATCTACATCTATTCTCGATTACGTATCAAAATGTAGATGCGTTATCACCCGTGAGGACTAAGATGTAATGCCTCGTTTCCAGTAAAAAGGTTCTCCGGTTCTCTACACTCACCATACGAAACACAGCAGGGTTAAACTGCTATTTTACATGTTATTCCGTGAGAGCGTGGCCCTTCCCCGGTCGAGCCGACCCATTCGTGCTACAACTATACCTAATAAATATAGCTGTAGCATGGCTCTACCACGTAAAAAAAATTGACGTTGAAAATTGAAGTATTTTTAGAAGCAACTGCAATTATTTTCTATTGAGTTAATTTTTGTGGAATCGTGTTTTGCAAACCGCCACCTAAAATACGTACAATTTTTTTTCGATAATGACGTGAAATTACAAAACGATCCCCATGCATTTCAATGTGGCTCTATTTAGCCTCTTAATATGAACATACCTCGGATTTCAGAGATAATGGAAGATATAATATTATATTATTACTGTTCCGTGTGAGGTAACCTTTATACTTATATACATATTCTCATCATATTTTTATGGTTGGTTAGAAAAATTATATCTAAATGCAAACTTTCACAGGGTCAATTTTTTTTTTACTATTTTTACCCAGCAAGTAGTAAAGCAACTACAATCCCATCGGTAAGTGGTTATGTAGTCTAAGATGGTGAATTGCACTGACTTAACAAAAACCTATTCACTCTTGCCTAATAGTACTAGGTAAGTATTATTTGCGACCTTTTTGTATGTGTGTGTATGTGTGTGTGTGCGCGCGTACGTGCATGCGCGCGTGTGCGTGTGCGTGTGTGTGTGTGTGTGTGTATGTGTGAAGAAAAGTGTATGAGAATACGTGAAGAGGAATAAAGGTTGAGTACTAATTCGCTTACCTGTACGAGGTTTTTAACGGTGGTAGAGCCTTGCAGCAGCTTTTGCTGTTGCACGTATGGGCCGGCTCGAGCCGGGTTAGTACCACGACCTCACAGAATACCGGCGTGAAGTGGAAGC